CGAGCGCCGGGCGCCCGCGAGGATTCGCCGGTTCTCCTGCCTGCGGGGCGCTCGGCTCCTAAGTCGGGCGGGCGAATGAGCCGGGGCGCGTGGCGTGTCGGTGTCCACCGAATCCCTCCGGTCCTCTGCAGTCCCCGTGTGTTGTGACGGAACTCCGACATTCATGGAAACCAGCTTTGTCAAAGGAAACAGTAAAGAACGTGAATGGTTCTTGGAGCCCTGCAGGAATGTTCTACAGGCTCTATTTCTAATCTCCTGCCCTCTGCACCCCCGAAGAGACTCCCCCTAGGAGGATCTTAAGCTAATTTCTCACCTTCCGCAAGAGACTTCAGAGGGGATGGTGGTGCTAATGGGCCTGTGTGTGTGTGTGAAGGCAGCCTTGAATCAACTGAAGCCTGAATTTTATGTATTAGGAATAATCGTATTTCTTGCCCCCACGCATTTTGAGTTTTGACCTGTTGCACAAAGCGCGGGGTCTGTTCGATGGGCTGCGATCCAGTCGAAGAGGCTGACGAGCAAAGCCAGTGGGCTACAACTGCGTGGGCTGTAAATTCTTCGATAGCCATAGAGGTGTGCACAGGTGTTACATAAGACAGAGAAGGAGGGGTGGGTACCCTGAGTCTTGAAGGCTAAGTGGGAGTTAGCTGGCAGAAAACTAAGGCAGAGGGGGTGGGGAAGTGTTCCAAACAAAGGGAACTACTAATAGTTACATAATATTTCCCTCACAGAGTTCTTTACTATATTTGTCTTAGCTATGCGTGTAGTTGGAATGTATATTGTTTCCATGTGTGTTATTCTAAGCTGGTCTTTAATGAACATAGTTGTGCATGATGCTTTTCCTCCTCCACTTTTAAATAAATCCCAGGAACAGGATGGCTATACAAAAGATAAAAATATTTTGTGACTTTTCGTAAAGCATTGTCAAATTATTCACCAAGAAAGTTGTAGTACTTTGTACCAAGGTGGTATTTAAATATTTAACATTCTGACAGTAAGTTTCCTATTAATTATTTCAAATCAAGGAAGCCTGATGAAATTGATTCTTGATTACTAGCATGTCATAAGTCACATCACGTGCATTGCTAGTTTCATGACCCACGATAAACTTCTAATTGAATTCAAGTTTGAAAAATGGAAAATATCAGATCAGTGGATTTCATCCTTACAAGACACCAGGTAGCATGTCTGAGAGGTGGGGGAAGGGAGGACAGGAGTGAGACTCACTAAAGCAGCACAAATCCCTGTCCCTGATTGTTCCTTTCTTACTATGAATCATGAGGAACAGAGAAAGTCGTTCCACACAAGCCAGAACAAGCCAAGAAGTTTCCACACCTCTCTGCTAATGTCAGAACAGCAGCAGACTCAAAGAGGCCCTGGGTTTGACCCAAGGGGCCACTGTACCTTACGGGAGAAAAGCTGGTTACCTGTGTGGGAAGGAATTTCCTGAAACCTGTGTGCTTCCCAGCTTGGTTGGCAACAGTACCTGCAAGGAGAAAACAATACTGTGACACTCAAAAGGACAGTTAGGAGAAAAGTAATTTAGATGATGTGGACAATGAAAGCAGAACATATCTTCCTTTTTTGCCTGTGTTAAGCCAGATCGTTAAAGGGAAAGAGAAGCGTGGTGCAGTTTTGATTTTGTGATGGCTGTACTTCACACTGTGGTTCTCTCCCTAATATATGTTCTGCACACATTGTATTAGTACCTTATACTTTGAGTGTATTGGGGGCAGGAGGGTGGCTTACCTCCCCTCAGCTTCAGGGACTGGCTTTGATTGAATTAACAAATTGTTGTCATCCTGTCGCTCTTTTTATCAGGGTTAAAAGGAGTTAATTTAGCAAAAGCTCTCAGAAGGGTGACTGGCACCTGTTAAGGACTCAGTGAACATTTGTTGTTGATACTGTTGTCGGTATTATAAGTGTGCCAATGACTGTTCAATCAGAGGAAGCCTGAACTTGTTTCAGTGGTTACATGATGACATGCTTTCTCCACGGATGGGGATGGAGAAGGAAGTGTAACTACCAATGCCACCTTTCCACCTTAGAGGGGAGCCAACCCAACCACACGCCTGATAAACAAGGAGTGGCAGAGGAGGCTGCACCCTGATCAAACTTCACTTGCAGCCTGCACTACCTCTTGACATGTCACTTGTTGGAGCCAAACACATCCCATTTGTTACCTGCAGTTGGGTTTTCTGCTATTTGCCTGCAGAAGCCCCTTAACTCATCCCATGCCTAGGTCCTCATTTTAACTAAAGGGTCAAAGTGATGACATCGCCCTTCCGCTCAGATCATATACTTATTAAAGAATGGGATTAACTCTTACCTCCACGGCAGATGAAGCCTGTGGTCCAGTGTATTCATGCCCTAGGACTTCTGTGACAAAATACCACTGGGGGGTAAGACTGGCAGCTTAAACAACAGAAATTTGTTTTCTCCCACCTCTGGAGGCCAGAAGTATGCAATCTTGGTGTTGGCAGTGTTGGTTTCTTCTGAGATCTCTAACCTTTGCTGGTAGATGGCCGTCCTCTCCCTGTGTTTTCATGTCATCTTCCCTCAGTGCATGTCTGTTTCCTGATTTCCTTTCCTCTTCTTATAAGGACACCAGTCGTATTAGATTAGTGCCCACTCTAATGACCTCATTTTAACTAAATTACTCTTTGAAAGACCCTGTTTCCAAATACAATCACATTCTGAGGTACAGGAGGGCCAGGACTTAATAATATGAATTTGGCAGGGGTAGCGTGGGGCACAATTCAGCTCATAACATCCAACTGTTGCAGCAAAGTGTGTTACAGCTCAGTTGTGACAGCAACCTGGATCCTGACAAGAGACTGAACAGTGCTCAGAGGGTTGGAGAACTCAGGTTTATTATGCTGGCAGGCCCAGAAGTGTTAACACTCCAAGCTCTGGACCCCGTCTATAGGTTTACACAGGCTTTTATAGGCTGCCAGTCTAGACTTTGCAATATTGTATGCAAATAAGGTGTAACAAAGTGGACCAATCAGGAATGAGCTTTTTAGAACTGGACCAATCAGGAGTGATAGAAATGGACCAATCAGGAGTGAGCTTAGGGAACCAATAGACTCTTAGGGGTAAGTTCCACTTTTCTAGAAGCAAGCTGTTTTACATAAATAAAAAACAAGATAATGCCACTGGGCCAGGGAACCGGATGGCACTGACAGGAAAGTAATGGCCCTGCCTGTGGATCCTGCTGGTCTTTTCATGGGGCTTTGCACCTCACAACAAGGCATTAATGATATTATTTAATAACAGTCTTTAACTCTTATTCTAGTCTCCTCTCCAAGGCTTTTGTTTAGGGTGTGTGTGTGTGTGTGTGTGTGTGTGTGT